TAGGACGGGGGGCTCCCAAGGTTGCAAGTTCAAAAGTCAAGAAGCAAGAACACCTCTCATTTCTTCCAGCACACCACAGTCATGGGCATGCACGTGGGCAGGGCTGTGCCCAGGGCAGCCTGCCACTTACTTAGCTTTCAGTTGGTTTGATGTTCTGTTTATTTCATAAGTGGGCAGGTTACAAGCTCTGCACAGAGGTTCTGACATTTTGCTGCCAGTTTTTGGGGTTTTTTTTGTTTTTCTTTTTTAAGGAAATTTGCTTGTCAGACTCTGTAAGTTAATTTCATGCAGTGAGCATTTCGGGGTGTCTGAGGTGCCCGAGACTGTCAGGGAGTGAGCTTCGTTGTGTGAAGAATCTGGCAAGCAAGGTAAACGCCCTCGGGATTGGTCCCTAAAACGTTCGTGATGTACATTTTTGTAAAACTTTGCTCTTTGGCCTTTTACAGGCCCCCCAACTTCCCATTCTCTTTTAGAAAGACAACTGTTTTTCCCAGCAAGGAACAGGTCAAGTGCCACAGGAGTGATAAAGCTTGACACCACCGTGCCACCCAGGAAGAACTAGCATGGTTGGTTGGGATTTGGGTTGTCACAGTTTCCAAGTCAAAACTTCAGGCCAATTCAGCCTCGCAAATCACATACCGTCTCCTATTTTGTGGCGGACATATCCCTGAGTGGCCCTAGCCATTTTTTCAGCTGCTCTGAGGACCTGAATCCAGGTCTTCCAGAGAAAAGCCCGCAGGTGGCACGAACTCAGAAAATCCACTAAGACACCGTGGATGTCAAGCCCAAGTTGCTGATTAAGGTTTGCACAAAATCTTGTTTTCCCATTACTCAGGGTGTCGGTGCTAGAGGATCTGCCCCAGCAAGATTTGTCTCAGGAGTGAGGCCACCTAGGCCCTGGCAGACAGGAGCAGGTTCTTGGTGTGTTGAAAGCAGAAGGGAACCAGCTGCCCCAACAGCTCAGCAGGAAGGTCGAGTCCAGGAAAGGAGCTTCTCTCTCTCCCCGCAGCCACCTCATGTGGCAGCCACAGACGGGCCCCCGAGAGGTGACAGTGGGGACCTGGATGTCCTGCCCCTTGAAGGAAGCTAGCTCTCGTTTGAATTTGCAGTGTTAATTAGGAAATTATTTATTTACAAGACAAGGTTTGAACTTGGTCAAGGTCGGAAGCATAATTCCTGTCCCTTCCAAAGCACAGAACAGAGAAGTGAGACCATTTCCATTGTGAGTCTTAGTGCTGATATTTAAAGTCATTAAAGAAAAGGTATTTGAAGAGTCGCCTGATGGTTCCTTGGTATGGGGAGATTGGGGATGCGGGGAGGGAAGTCATGTATGTGCAGAGAAGAGGGAAACCACTTTGCCCAGACCCCTGCTTTGGAGTAGGGCTGCCTCGGGGGAAAAAAGGGTGGTTTGATCCTCCTTTAAGGCTTAGAAGGGTCCAGGTAACAGGAGGGCCAGAGCCTAAGAAAGTCGGAGCAGGGAGGGGGAGGGGTTGTGTGTCTTTTTTGTCAAACTGAGCCTTGCTTCCCGCGAGCCCCGTGGATGGAACCGACAGAGTGTCTGCCTGTCACCATGGGGGGGAGCCCACACTGAGGGGACGTTCCGCTTCCGGTGGTGCATGGGGTTGGAGAGGTGTTTGTCTGCTATTCGTCTGGGGCTGGACAGCTCTTGGCAGGTAATGCCTGTTGGGCTGTGATGTGACTATATCTGTGTGCAGTGAAGGTGTGGATTTTACTCCGTGGACGCTCTCAAAGCAGTCTCTTAGGAGGCACATAATACTAACGAGCACTTATTAAGCCCTTACTGTGTGCTGGGCACTGTTCTAGGTGCATAAATATGCCGCCTCATTTACACAGCAGCCCTCCATAGTAGGTGTTGTTATTCCTGTTTGACAGGTGGGGGGACTTACGGCTATTCGGAGACATTAAGACACTTGCCTTAATAAAGAGCTGAGATTGGAACCAGGGCTCTGGACCCACACCTTATGCCGACCCTCCATGCGAGGGGTGTTTGGAGAAATATGAAATAGGAGCGCATCTCCGACCGCGCACACCGGGGTTCCCTTTCCCTGCTTTCTGGTGTTGCTTTTGCCAAAGTCCTCCCGTCTGTGGGGCAGATGGCTGTCCTGCCTCGGCGTCCTGAGCATCCTTTTTCCTTATGGGTCTGTCAGAATCACTGACCCCTGACCCCAAGCAAATTGCTCACAAAAAATTATCTGGGCTAAATGCTTTCTTTAAAAGCTCAGGCCCAAGAATTCTGGCTTCAGCCTCATTCTTTCTAGTGAAGTTCGTCTTAAAGTTCTGGCAAGTTTCAGGTGAGGGTTGATCCAGCAGATCAGAACTGTTACCAATGACCTGCCTGATAAGCTCCCCTCAGATTGGTACCTGGGGCATGGGGTGGGTGGGGGGTGGGCTCCCACGATGTCAGCCAGAAGAATCAGAGGCTACGTACGCGTCCCCTGTCCACATCCAGCAGGAAAGAAGGGCGTCCTCCCTGCCAGCCAAAATCCTGAAGTTCACTCTGATTGGACTGGCCTGGTTCATGCCCATCCCTGGGCCAGTCATAGTAGCCCAGGAGTGGAATGTGCTGATTGGGTGACCCTGGGTTACGTTTGAGCAGTGGGGTTGCAGGGAGGAGCCCACCACCCGAGACCAGCTGAGGTCCAAGTGAAATTGGGGTTGCCATAAAGTGGGGGAATAAATGCCCCCAAAGTCTACAATAGTAAAATTAACATCTGCAATTTATCAGTGAAGAGAAAACAAGCTCAAAGAGGTCGAGTAGCTTCCCCAGGGCCCCACAGCCAGGAGGATGACCCATGTCATTTATTGATGAGCAGACTGAGGTTGAGAGCTGACAAGGGGTTTACCCAAGCTGACCCAGCTAAGGAGCGTTGGGGTCAAGGCTCTAACCAAGTCTGAGGGTGTCAAGATTCACACAGTCCACCCCCAGCTAAGTGGGAGCCGCTGTCCCCCACTAGTGCCACCCTGCCATCAATCTGTCCACAGAACTGAGATCGGGGCCTGGAGTCCTGCACGGTTGCTTGTCTAGTTCGCTAGTGCCTTTCTCAGACCCTCTCATGCCCTGTGAGGGTCTCGGTCACTGCTGTGTCGTCCTGACCTATGGTAGGTGCTCCAGAAATGTGTTCTTTGTGAGTGAGTGAATGAATGAATTCCTCTCGCTTCTGCGAACTACGTCCTCCTCTGACGACTCAGGACAGCAGCAGGGACACAGGCGGGCCCTGATGACTTTGCCAGGCCTGGGGCCGCCCCCGGCACCCCACCCCACCCCCGGATTCCAGGGCTGTTATCTGAGCAGCATTTACTGGGAGGGAGTGTCCCGGCCCAGGGTTAAAGATAGCATTGCTTGGAGTCACGTCACAGACCAAAAAGGTGAGATGAGATGGCCAGCCCCGGGCCCTCTGGCTCTCGGGGTTGGGCACAGGACATTTAATCCGTGTCCCAAGAGAACGATTGGGTGGGGGTGTGGATTCCTTCAGGGAGATTCAGTCAGGACTGGGAAAACAAGAGGGCGATTTGACCCCCGTGGTTACCAAAACGTGTTAGCAAGACCCGGCCCAAATGTGGGCAGCATCGGTCCTCGTGCGGGAGGGACGGATGTCCCCCAAACTCGTCCCCACGCCTGTGTCCCTCGTAAGTTGTAGACAAAACCTTGAACCTCAGCATTGAACCAAGCATTTGAGATCCCCCAGTGCAACCCCTCCCCCGCCCTATGCCCCAGTGCCCTCTATTAAAGCCTATCTAGCATTGGTCAAATGCCACCTCCTCCGCGTGGCCCTCCCGGGTGTTCTAAAGCACAGCCCCAGCCATTCCCCTCCACATCTTCCCTGTGCATGTCCTTCTTAACCCTAATAACTCCTGTCATTACCTTTTTTAAATATCTGCTTCCAGGCGGGCTGGTTGGCTCCCTCAGTAGAGCGTGGTGCTCATAACACCAAGGTCAACGTTTGGGTCCCCGTACAGACCAGCTGCCAAAAAAGGAAAAAATCTCTGCTTCTTTGTTCATGGTGCTACCCCCTTCCACAAACCACTCCCTGCTGTGTCCCCAGCTCCTAGAAGAGGGCCTGACACCTGCAGCCACTCATTCAGTGTTTGTTGAGTGAATAAACGAGCTCACGCATCTCATTCAGAGAAGAGTTCCACCTTAGGAACCTAGAAAAATAAGCGCAAATTAAACCCACAGTAAGTAGAAGCAAGGAAAGAAGAAAGGTACGAGTGGAGATCGATGAAATAAAACGGACAAATGATAGAGAAAAATCAATAAAGCCAAAAGCTGGTTCTTATAAAAATTTAATAAAATGGAATATAACATATCAGGGAGTATGGATTCAGTGCTGGAGTCACCAGCCTGCAATCAATCTTGTGACTTAGCCCAGTTTCCTCATTCAGAGAACCTGTGAGGTGGTGGTGAAGACCCTGCCGTGTGACCTGGGGGAAGTCACTTCTCTTCCCCTGCCTCAGTTTCCTCATCTGTCAAATGGGGCTCACAGTAGCACCTACCCACTGGCCTTGCGTGAAGGATTAAACGTGTGTATCCATGAAGACGTCCTGGCATACAGTAAGTGCTCAACAGAGCTAGTGCAGCTATAGAGCACCTGCTGTCTGCACACGCATTTGCAGATATTAGTTCTGAAGATGATCAAAGCTTGAAAACAAAAATGAATGGATTCTTTTTTACATTTTTTAAATAGAGGTATAATTTGCATACCATAAAATTTACTATTTTCAGTTGTACAGATCAGTGGCTTTTATTCTCAAGGTTATACAACCATCACCACGATCTAATTCCAAAAAAAAGTTGATTTTTATTTTTTTCGGTTTGTTTCTAAGAATTGATTTTTAAAGCCTATTTAAAGAAAAATATTTAATGACTCAAGTAGAAGAAAGGAAATGGGGTAAATAAGAACTCGGGTTGCCAGCAAAGACCATGAAGACGGTAAACAGGGAACCAAAGGCTTGCAGTCAGCGGATGGGAGCCAGAGCGTGTCACGGCCCCGTCTGACTGATGGGAGCTCTGAGGCCCAGAGAGGGATGTCAACAGGCTGAGGCCACACAGCAGCGAGTGAAGGGAAGGACCAGGCACACCGTGCCACCCCAGCCTGCTGCGTCCAGAGCCCAGGCACCAAGCAGAAAGGGGACAGGGATTTGCAGGGTGGGACCTGGCACAGAGCCTGGCGAGGGGTCTT